CCCCAAAACCCCAAAACCCCAAAACCCCAAAACCCCATTATATAATATATTATTGATTCAAACTTGCTAATCTTATAACTAATTCGAATCCCATGGATCAATAGATTTCAAAAAAGGAGTATAGTCATGTTTGATGATGAGTTAGACCTAAGAAACGGCTACAGACAGTTCCTCCAGGATAAGAAGGATGACAAGAAGGTTCTTCAAGAGAAATCTCAGAATAAGCAGATCCCCTCTGAAGATAATGTAGCTCATAAGCATGCTTTTGAGTCTAGCATATGAGTTCCAAAAACAAATGCTCAAAGGAAGATAGATAGTAAGGTAAACAAGTATCAAAGCCTGATTGAGAAAAGCATTGATAGCTTTGAGAGTCTCAGAAAAGAGAAAAATCAAAAAGAACTGATGGAGAAAAATGCAAAATCGCAAATTACACCATCAATCCATAGAATTTCAGAAATCCAAGAAGTTATTGAAGAAGAAAATGAGGAAGGGTTCAAGGTCCGTATATGCTATGAAGCACAGAGAAGATGGTTAAATCCCATCCCAAAAACACTCTTAGACCTGAGAGATACAATTATCAGTCTCTTCCATTCTTCAAAGAACAAGCCACTTACTGATGAAGATTTTAGAATGTATTTCTACGATTTTGATGGAGAAAAATGAATCATAGATACAGACTTAGATCTCCAAACTGCTTATTGCCTAGCAAAGAAAGCTATACCTAATATCCTGAAGCTATGCATTGATATCAGAAGAGGCCTTAATGTCTGAGATAGTGACTCAGATAACAGGACTATTAGGATCAAGACAGATTACAATGATAGAAGATACAATGAGGAGTCAGACGATGAAGAAGACTATGAGAAATGGAAGCTCGACAACTTCGAACTTGAGTTCAACTACATTATGAGAGATGGATTCCCATATCAAAGATATTACCCGTACAACAAAGCAAACTATGCTAGTCTCTCATGATGGTATGCGTGAAGAGATAATCATATTAATGGATGCTCAGGAAGATGGGAAACATATCCTCTGATGTTCAATGGAGAATTCGGGAAAATGATTGTTCCTCATTCAATTCCAAAAGAAAAGCACACAACAGAAAATATCAATCCAACTATTGAGAAGTATGCTAAGGCTCTTCTTACCGGGACAGGTGTAAAGGATGAGATCCTATCCAAAGATGAGGTATTGGCTTTAGCCAAAGCAATGAGTCGAAATGATTGCACCCTTACCTCTACTCAGTTAGTTGCTTCTATTAAACAGTGTTTCCCAAATGCCAATCTGCCAACTAGACGGATCTTTCAGTCTATTGTATCAAGTGAGAAAATGAGAGAGATTAAGTATGATGATAATGGAACCCAGATATTCAGAATGGATGGAATTCGTACTCTCAGAAAGACCCAATTTGGAAGAGGAATGACCTTCACTCTTGTTGAAGGAAAACCGAAGTATTACATTTACTTCTACAGTGATTTCCAATGGCAAGTAGCTGAAGAGATGAAAGATGATCCTAACTTCCATTTATTTGTAGATGGAACATTCAAGTGCTGTCCTAAAGTATGGTCGCAGCTTCTAAATGTATGAGTATTTCATAAAAGAAAGAAGCTTTATATCCCAATTTGTCACGTGCTGATGCAGACACAGACATATGAAGGCTATGTGTCTGTATTCCATTGGTTAAGAGACACATTTGGGTTTAACCCAAAATTTGTAACAGTAGATTTTGAAATTGCAACAATGAGAGTTATCAAAGAAGTATGGCCTGATTGCAGATTAGTACCTTGATTCTTCCATTTTGTAAAATGCCTTTGGATGAATGCTGCAAAATGAGGTTTAAGAAAGAAAAAGTTTGTGTGAGATACAAAACAACTCGTATTTTCATTAAAGGCCTTAGCATTCAGACCTCCTGCTAAAGTTTACAGAAGATTTGAGAAAATCAAAGGTATTTATGAACAGAAAGGTAACTGATACAAGAGCTTTTTGGAATATTTTGAGACAACTTGGATGGATGGAACATTCAAAATTAATGACTGGAATTATTATGAGAAAATCAACGATTTTGAAGACCTTGCCATTACCAATAATGGACTTGAATCATTCCATCAAATCATTAAATCCCAACTGAGAAGAATCACCCCGAGCTTCAAAGGATTTATCGAAGTATTAGCCAGAGCAGAGACTTTAAAGAAGTCAGATTATGATGAAGACAGAATAAATGGAGATCCACAATACAACAGATGATGGCCTGTTACAAAGATCATGAGAGAACTTTACTGAAAAGAGTCAAGCCAAGAAAAGAAAATGAAAGATTTAAAGGATGGTGTAGAAGAAGAAATCTCACAATATGTGCCTAAAGATCTTTCCTCACTAAAGAATTCCAATGTCGGGCAATTTAATATGAAAACCAGAAAGGTAGAAAGAGAAGTCATGTTCCTCTTTGAAGAATTTGATGAAAACAAAATTAGTTTACAGCAAGATAAAGTGATCAGAGAAAGAGCAAAGTTAAGAAAGGAGATTAGATCAACTTCTGGAGATCCCCAAAACGCTTCAGGAGAACCATTCGAAGTCATAGAAAAATATCTTACTGAAGATAAACCTAAGCTCGATAAGGCTATAGTTGGATTCAAGGTTGCTAATTCAGATTTCATCAGGAAGAAACCTAAGCAAGAAAAGACAGAATCACAACTGCTAAAGGATAGAATTGAAGAAGATATGGATGAAGAGCTTGAACAAATTCTGAATGGAGATTTAGTTTTCCAAACATATGCCACTGCTTTCGATCCAAACAAGATTAAAAGGAGGAAGAAATAATGTATAATTTTGTAGTTAATATTGTCTCTAATATTTTCTGGGGTTTTGGGGTTTTGGGGTTTTGGGGTTTTGGGG